ATACCAAGAGGCAACTTCAACACGTGAGCTCTGAGACAAAGCATTCAAAGTAAAGGAGACAGTGAGAAGGATAAAGTAGGGAAAGAAAGTGAACAAGAAGAGAACATACAGGAGGAGAAACCAAGAAAAAACTTCTGGTGCTCTGAAAAGCTGAAACAGAGCAACCTCCCCCCCTCCACAAGGGACCATGAAACAGCTACTGCAGAGGAGTCCATCTATAAAGAAGTAATGGAAATGATAGAAAGGGAATTTAAAATATGGACGATAAAGACAATGAAGTGAATTGATGAGGAAGTGGAAAAACAGAACCGAAAAAAATGGATGACAGATATGAAAAATATAGAAAAGATATGGCAGAGCTTAAGGAAATGAATGAGTCAGTCAGGCAACTTAAAGATGCAGTTCAAAGTACCAATAACAGATTAGACCATGGAGAAGAAAGAATCTCAGAGCTAGAGGATAAAGTTCATGAGCTAACCCAGGTAGTTAAAGAGGAAGAAAAGAAGAGAGAGAAAGGAAATTATTCACTCAGAGAATTTCAGGACCCCATGAAGTGTTTAAATATATGAATTATAGAGATCCCTGAAGGAGAAGAAGAATGTCCCAAAGGAATGGAAGCCATATTGGAAGATATCATAAATGAAAAGTTTCTACGTTTTACTAAAGATTCCACAAATCTTCTTTCAGAGGCGTATTGAACCCTGGATCATCTCAAAACAGAGTATTTCTAAGACACATTGTAATAAACCTGTCCAAAGTCAAGACAAAAGAGGAAATCCTGCAAGGATCCAGGAATAAGTGTCAACTGACCTACAGGGGCAGATCCATCAGGATGACAGCAGCCTTCTTAACTGAAACTTTTCAAGGCAGAAGAGAATGGTTATCTACTTTTAACTTTCTTAAACAAAACAATTTTTCAGCATGGAATTCTGGATCTTACTAAACTAAGTTTCAAAATTGACAGAGAAATTAAATCTTTTGTCAATATGCAAATATTGAGGAAATTCACCACAGCAAGACCAGCTCTATAGGAAATCCTTAGACCTGTTCACTACACTGACCCATCATAATAGATCATCAGAAAAATGAACACCCAGAACTAATGGACAAAACTTACTTTCCAAGATGGCACAAAGGATAAAAGTAAGCAACAAAGTCTCACAAAATAAGATGAATAGAACTCCACCACACTTCTCAATTGTTTCAATAAATGTTAATGGCTTAAATTCCCCACTGAAGAGGCACAGACTGGCTGATTGGATAAAGAAGCACAAGCCATCCATAAGCTGTCTCCAGGAAACTGACCTAGCAGCAAAGGACAAAGTAAGACTCAGGGTTAAGGAATGGAAAACAATTTTTGAGGCAAATGGAAATCAGAAGCAAGGAGGGGTTTCGATCTTATTTTCAGATACAAGTGGATTTTAAGCAACTAAAATTAAAAAAAAAAAAAAAAGGTCTAGGCACCTGTAGCTCAGTAGCTAGGATGCCAGCCACATACACCAGAGCTGGTGGGTTTGAATCCAGCTTGGGCCTGGCAAACAACAATGACAACTACAACCAAAAAATAGCTGGGCATTGTGGCAGGCTCCTGTAGTACCAGCTACTTGAGAGGCTGAGGCAAGAGAATCACTTAAACCCAAGAGTTTGAGGTTGCTGAGAGCTGTGACACCATGGTACTCTACCCAGGGCAACATAGTGAGACTCTGTCTCAAAAAAAAAGAAAAAAAGAACAAACAAACAAACATGATCACTTCTTACTGGTCAAGGCAATAATACAACAAGAGGAAATTTCAATTCTAAATATTAATGCACACAATTTAAATACTGCCAGATTTATGAAACAGACCAATCAAGGTCTGAGCCATATGATATCCCTTAACACCTTGATAGCTGGGAACTTTAACAGCCCTCTGACAGAACTGGATAGATCCTCTAAACAGAAACTAAGCAAGTATACAAGGAAGTGAAATGTGACCCTATAACAAATGGGTTCAATAGACATATACAGAACATGCCATCCCAAAGCTAAGGAATATACATTTTTCTCATCAGTGCATGGAACATACTCTAGAATAGATCACATCCTAGGATACAAATGAAACCTCACCAAAATTAACAACATTGAAATTATAACTTGTATGTTTTCTGACCAGAAGGCAATAAAGGCAGAACTCAACAAAAACTGTCATCCCTACACAAAGGCATGGAAATTATGCAAATTTATGCTGAATGACAGTTGGGCAAGGAAGAGATAAGGAAACTGTTAAACTCCTGAAACATAACAACAATGAAGCTACAAATTACCTAAACTTGTGGGATACTGCAAAAGTAGTCTTCAGAGGGAAATTTATCACATTAGATGTCTACATCCAAAAAGCAGAAAGAGAGCACATCAACAAACTAGTGAATCATCTTAAGGAAATGGAAAAGGAAGAACAATCTAATCCCTACCCTAGCAGAAGAAAAGAAATAATCAAAATTAAGTCAGAAATTAGTGAAATTGGATGGTGCCTGTGGCTCAAAGGAGCAAGGCGCCAGACCCATATGCTGGAGGTGGCGGGTTCAAACCCAGCCCAGGCCAAAAACTGCAAAAAAAAAAAAAAAAAAAAGAAAAAAGAAAAGAAAAAGAAAAAGAAAAAGAAATTAGTGCAATTGAAAACAAAAGAATCATTCAGAAAATTAAAGAAACAAAGAGGTGGTTCTTTAAAAAATAAACTAAATCAATAAACCATTGGCCAGACTAACTAGAAACAGAAAGGTAAAATCTCTAATAACCTCAACCAGAAATGAAAAAGAAAAAATAACAAAAGATATCATAGAGATACAGGAGATTATCTCTGAGACACATTTTATTTTGAAGTCCAACATCTAGTAGAAACCAAGGGCCTCAATGACATAGTCATTTATTTATTAAAAAATTGGATGGCTTTTTACATGGCAACCACTGCTTTGTAAACTGAGGGTACATATAGTCACTTCCCTATTAAGACTGGCATTCTATGTGAGGAAGGCAGATAGACAAATGCAGGCAGTTCTTGTTTTGGTGCTGACATGAATGAATTTGAGTTAACAGAATTTAGTTCAGTAACACCAATCCTCCAGTGCAAGGTTCAAATTTTACGTAACAAAGTGAATTTGTTTCCCTGATTTGCATAAAGTGCAAGCTTCAGAGCCAGCTCCTGGGTCCACAAATCATTATGTGAATAATAAAAGCTCATCGTGATCATCATGATCAGTAGTAACCAATCATGTCACTTCTTTCAAAGTCCTATGGCTCTGTAAATATTTTGGCAGAATTTGGTTTTTCCATCATCAAGAAGGCAAGCACTATTCCAATTATTCTTGCCATGTTTTTATAAAGAAATAAAACACTTTAACTCTCAATGTTTCTAATGTTTCAAATTGCAATCTACTAAACCTTCAATAATTTTATTCTTCACTGCCCTATAGGTTTATAACTGAGAGTATGAGAGAGAATCTGTAATATTTTGATAACATGTTATAAAAGTCACCAGAATAATCATAATTTTCCCCATTGACTGTGGAGATTATTTCTAAGGATTTCAGTTTGCACAGTTTTGGGTTTTTTTTTTTCAGAGATGGGGTCTTGCTATGTTGCCCAGGCTGGCCTTGAATTGCTGGGCTCAAGTTATCTCACTTCAGCCTCCTGAGGAGCTGGGACCACAGGAATGAGCCACTGGGTTCAACTTCATGGTCCTTTTTACAATCCTGCATACCATGAAAACAAGGACTATGTGTGTTCAGAATAGTACAGATGACAATAACTGATAAGAAAAAAAATGAAGTCAAGAGGAATTCATATGTTAGGGAGAATTCTCTCCCAGGGAGAGAGAGAGGAATTAATATTTTATGTAAGGTGGTGTGCAAAACATGCCTTTAATAAAGTGACATTGAGCAAAGATTTGGAAGAAGGGGGAGCCATGCAAATATGTTGGGGAATAGCAGAGGAATGAGAAAGAATTGCTGTGGTTGAATCAGGCAATCCAGTTAGAGGATGCAGCAATGGTCCAGGGAGAGATGATGCTGGCTGGGACAGAGGTGTGTAGAACGTGTGCAGAGTTTGGATATGATGCAGAGGAGTGATGGAGCAGGCTTCGACTGGCCCCTGAGGGCCCTTGTAAAGTTTCAGTTTTTCAGTCTGGTTGTTAAACTGTTGGTAACTTGAAATTGACCACATTGGGAGTATTCATACCACAGAAATTGAGAAGAACCACGGATCTGGCTTTTTCCCTCCCCTTTCAAAGTCAAGTGTTCAACATTTACCTTTTCACCAGTGGACATGTGCACTTGGAAACCAGAATTATTTATGGGATGTAAAGAATAAACAAAACACAAAGGACTCCAAGGCTTTTAGACTGTCACAGCACTGCCACCATGAGCCAGAGGACTGGAAGAATGCAGGGTGACAGACAAACTGCTGCTCCCATCACAGAGACAGGAGGACAAACTTCTTTCTGGGTTTGAGGAGTAGGGCACTTAGACAAAGGGGAAGGAGAATAGCTTTTCCTATTGAAGTGGGATGGGGCTTCCCATCTTCAGTATTCAGGAGACCCCAGACAAGCTCAGCATGGCTTGGGGTTTGGGGTCAGCTGGGATCCAGAGACAGGAATGCCCTGAGAGCCTGGCCAGGGGTCTGCTATAGGGCCTGTCCTGAGGTGATGGATCTGAGTGTACTCAGGCACTTATGTTTGGCTTTTTTTCCCCCCTTCTAGGAAGGTGTCACAAGTCAGTCCCCAGCCTGATCCCTTGGCCGATTCAGGAACACAAAAGAAGACCTGGCCCTGGGCATCAAGGACGGACTGTCCTGACCCAGGAGCCTGAGGCACTTGGAGCCAAGTCTGTGGAAGGTTCTCTCTGGCTTCTTCTCTCAGGCTAAGCCCCTCGAGGAAGGAAGGAGGCAGCAGAGACTGAGGGTTCCACGAGACAGGGAAGAAAGGAAGGCACTGAAGAGAAACTTAGCCACATTTAATCATCTCTCTGCTCAGCATTCCTGAGAGCCTGTTATGTCCCCACTGCTGGTCTTCTCCTGGGACTTGTGTCCCTGAGATGGAGCTCTGCCTGCTCAGCTCCACTCCAAGTCCCAGCTCCTCTTCCGGAGTCCTGACTCCCCTTCCTGAGTCCCATCTGCTCGGATACCTGGAGGGTGAGAGTGGGAAAAGCCTCAGAGCAGCCCATCTGGGGCTTCTCTTCATACTCTACCATGGGCATAGCTTTGGCCCCATGGACACCAGAGATGTCTATGTAACCTAGAGATGGCCTGCAAGGGAGGTTGCCACTCAGCTGCCCCTCACCCAGCCCCCTCTGCCCGCATCCTTCCTGGGACCCTGAGGGTAGTGTGGAACCCTCTGAACACCCTAGCCCATCTCCCACAGCACCCACACACTTCCTTGCAGTTGAGAGTCCCTTAGAGCATTCTGAGACTTCCGAGGGCACCAAGGCAGGTGTGTCACCTTCTGTAAAGTACACTAGTCTAACACTGTTTGGCAGGTGCACTGGCCCCCTGCTGGCCTTGCCCTCCCTCCCCCACACTTACAGTCAGGTCTTCTGCTTCCTGTGGACATAGACAGCAGTGACACCAACCACCAGCAGTGTCTTGGGGCCCAGGAAGAAGGCTACCAGGAGGGGCCAAGGAGGAGGCAGTGCCAGATCTAGAAATCAAGACACAGAGGAGCCATGAGAGGGCTACCCTGGAGTCTATTCCAGGGGCCCCCACTTACCCCATCTGAGGCCACCTGGGCCCATCTATACCCTGAAGATTTTGAGTCTGCACCCTACCCAGCTGCAGCCTGAGGGAGAAGGCAGATAGAGGCTCCACATTCTCCCTCAGCCTGTCCCGGGCTGCCAGGTCATCCTCCAGCAGCAGAGGGGTGTGGATGATGTTCACTGAGGGGTACAGATGCCTGAGTTCCTTACTTTGCCCTCACAACCATGGGGGCAGGGGTGATTAACCTTGTTCTGATGGGAAACTGAGGCCCAGAGAGGGCAGGGAGGCTCACAAGGTCAGTGGGCGCCAAACTTAGGGACGTCCATCACTGGCGTGCCTTAGGATGACTTCTAGGACTGGGTTGTTTGGACCAAGACAAGTCCAGTCTCCCAGTTTCATAGGAATGATGATGAAAGGGCGTGCAGGGGAGGGGACAGTTTCACAGTGGAAGGGCTGCTTAGCCCCAGGGGTAGGGGGGCCTCATGTTCTCAGGAGCTGGGGGATCCCTTGAGGGGCCTGACCTAATGAAATCTGCTGGCTGGAACAGACCCCGGGGAGTCAAGGGAACAGGTCTCAGGCCTGGGAGGCCTCTAGCCCCACCTAGAGCACATGCCCCACCGCAGCGGTCTCTGCCATCTTTCTGGGGGACGCAGACAGTTCAGGGGGAAACCTTCTTTAGCATGTTTGTATTTTTACAGTTTTGTTGTTACAATGAAACAGAGATATTAAAATATGTTTTTTACAAATTAAATGGTGCTGGCTATAAGAGCAGAGTGGAGAGCTCAGCGTCTGTGGCTGCTGCACTGGTGGGTGCTGGCAGTTCTCAGCTGAGGGACTTTCTGGGACTTTCTTGGCCTTGATGAGAACAACACTGCCCAAGTGCACTCCTCGGTGTGAGCCCATCTTGCCCAAAGGCTGGGAGAATCAGGGGTTTGAAGGCCCAGCCCCTTCCTCTGAAGTGAAAACAACTGTAAAGAACCCCCTGAAGCAGCTGAGTCTTTGTCACCCCCGGGTGGCCCAGCATCTCCTTCTTTGGGTCCTGTCTGCTCACACCCTCAGACATGTCCGCCCTGATGGAAATCTCAGATGCTTCCTGCTTTCTTGTATCCATCTTAGAGTCTCCTTCCAGGGAAATGGGCCTCAGGGAGAGTTTAACAGGAGGTTCAGGTGTGGCTTGAGATCAAAAAAGTTGAAAACTCTGGTTTAGACCAATCACCTGGTCTAACGGCAGGAGGTCCTCAACAACACCCCCAATTGCTCCTCAGGCCCTGGTTTTTCCTGTAAAACTCAAAATTCATTAGGGAGCTGAAGCAGGGAAGGGGTCGTAGATGAACAGGAACTTGTATGAGGTGAACGTGCAGAGAGGGCTTGTGATTACTCCTGGTCCCTTATATCAGAGCAGGACACAGAGGGGCTGGCGCTGTGACTGGGATCAGCCGTCTTCACTGAACCATCTTAAACTCTACTTCCCTTTTAAAATTTCACACAGTAGATGCCCGAGTCTGGTGGCATGAGGTTGCAGATATGGATGAAAACGTAAAGAAGGATCAGAGACCAGGCAGGGGTAGAGTCAGAGTGGGATGGAGGGGGCAGGGTGAGGAGGAACAACCGGAACATAGTAAATGTCAGGGGGCGAAGGCAAGAGGCAGGACACTGTGAGCAGGTGATCCCTCCCTTCTTTCCTTTTTTCTCTTGCGATATACACGGTTATAAAAAGATCTGCCCAAGTGTGCACCAAACTCTTAGCATGATGACTCTTAGAGTGGGATTTGAAGAGATTAACTGACTTTACAATTCTGCTTTCTATTTATAGACTTCTAGATTATTTTATAATAAGCGTGAATGCTACTTTTAACATTAAAAAAAGATAAAATTTAAAAATCTGTAGTAAACTCACCAAGGGTGGCATCTAAGTCCTGCTCCAGGGCATAGCTTCTGGTGACCGGTGCCTGCCCATTGTGCTCCACCTGGCAGGTGACCACCACACTGTCCCTGTGGGCAGAGGAGGTCACCAGGAGCCAGCTGGTCCAGTTGTAGGTCCCATCCTTGTTCTCTATGGGGGTCGAAGTCATTTCTGTTCGGGACACATTTCCGTTCTCCAACCAGGTCAGGTGCAGTTTCCCAGGGTAGAACCTCTCCACCTGGCAGGTGGCCTGGTTCCCTGCTGTCATGGGCTGTTGGGTAACCTTCAAGGTGGGTGGAACTGAAATAGCACAGAGAAGAAGCTCTGACCTTATGGCACAGGCAGGTCACAGAAGATGGTCTGGGTAACTTAACCCCCCACACACACCAGGGCAAGGGCATCACCAGACAGTGCTAGGGTGCTCGTGCATATGAGTGAATGGGCTAAGTTTAACACTAGGCACACAGTAGGTGATCAATGACTGGTAGCACCTATTAGGGTAATAAGGAGTGAAATCAACAAGCACCACCCCCGGGGTGCACTCAGAATGTAATAACTATAGCAAAAGAGATGAAACTGCCAAGCGCATGGGGCGTGGCTCCCAGCAGGTGCTGGGAAACTGCAGTTGCTATAGGTGAAATCAACCAATCTACCAGGTCACAGTATTGGCACATGGTAGGTATTTGCCTGGCAGATGCCATCGGAATGAGAGTAAGTGAGAGGCACAAGTGGGCACAGGGTAGGTGGGCAGGACAGTTAAGAATTATATCCAGGCAGTTTAAGCCCTGGAACAAATGATGCTGGTCCCCACATGCCGTGCCCTGGAGGTCTCTCCCATTTGGAGTCGGGCTTAGATGCCACCCCTGGGGAGGTTAGTAAAATTTTTAAATTTACCTTTTAAGAAATGTTAAAAGGTATTAGGGCTTGATATAAAATAACCTAGAGGTCTATAAATATAAAGCACAACTTTAATGTCAGCCCATCCTCTCAAATCCCACTGGCTGCAGCCTTATGCAAGGGTTGGACTGGGTGTGGGCTCCTCTACCTTGGATGGTCTCAGACAAGTTGGCAGTCCCACGGAGAGGGATCTCCTCCAAGGTGACGTGGGTCACCTCACAGATGACCTGAGAGTGGATGTCTCCAGGGTCCAGTGTCACCCTGGCTGTGCTGTGTACATGGTAGGAGGCCTTTTCTCCTGTGGAGTCTACAGTGGTCTGGACGTCTGAGAGCTCATTCCCATTTTTGAACCACCTCAGGGTGATGTTTCGGGGTGAAAAGCCATGGGACTCGCAGGTGAAGTTCACTGTCTGCTTAGTTGTGGCCCTTGCTGTAGGGCCCGATACCACGGGGACAGAGGGTTTGGCTGAAAAGGAGCATTTATAAACAAGAGGCATGATTGCAAGGACCATCACTGATGATACTCATGTGATACTGTCAAAGATCTTCACAGACATTAGTTTTTAATCCCATGATAATGGTATGGACGTGGTGTCCTTCTTGTCATTTCACAACCTGTGCACAAAGGCTGGAGGAGGTGAGAGACCAGCGTGAAGTCAGGCAGTGAGGAGGGGGCAGGCCCAGCAGAATCCAGGCCTGCAGCCTTCAAAGTACTTCTCTCCACACAGAGTCATTTCCCCCAATCTCAGCACAAGGACAAAATTACCTATTGGTCTCTTGGTATTAACTGTTCCTAGCCGGCCTCCCCGACACCCTGCCAACCCCAGAGGGAGCCTTTATAGAAGTCAGTGCAGGGAACAGATGACAATGTGGCACTACCCTGAGAGCTGGCACCAGGCTGAACAGCCCACAAAAGGGGTGGCCTGGCACATCCAGCTCCTCATCTGTGAAATGGGACAGCAGCATCTCTCCTCCCCCAGTTGCAGGGAGGCCATGGAAGCAGTTTCTCTTTGGATAAATCCCAGAAGATGTGTCACAAAAATAAACGGGCACCATCAATCTTTAACCTAGGGTTTATATATATCCCGAGGTTTCCAGTAAGGTACTTAAGGTTCGGGAGGTTGTGGGAAGATTGTACTCCCACCTGCTGAAAATCAAACCCCAGAATGTGCCAGTAGCCCTGGATAATGTCTGAAGACAGGACCTTCTGGATTTCCACATCTCTCAGCTGGGAGTACCATTAGGCAACCATGCAGAACAGGTTTGCAGTTTGGGGTTCCTGCCCAGCCAAAGAACTGCCTCCCAAAATAACATTTCGTGGAAATTTCCCCCATAAAACTTCTGCATTTGCCTTAGGGGACACTATTCAGGGCTGCCCTGAGTCACTCAGGGTACTTGAATTGTAATTCTTTGTTTCCCAAATAAGTGTCATTTTCTTGGAACTCCCTATCAAGCCCTTTGTGGGTGTTGTTTTTAATAATAGATCTAATCTGTGTGAAGTCCCGACTTGAAAGAGAGAAGTATTTTTTTGAATTTGGGTCTTTGGAGGGGTCAGATTTGGGTTGAAAACATAGATGGCTGAATGCTGAGAAAGTCAAAGGTGGTTAATTTCTAAGTGTTAATTAATTGTGAGAGACATAGACCCAGGCCACTAAGCAGGAGAAGTACTTCCGGGGTCCTGAAAGCACATAAATTGCTGAATCAGAAAATGAGGGCAATTTCTTCCTGTAAGTGGGTCCTAAAGGCAGTCTCCAAACCAGGGGTCCTCAAACATTTTAAATAGGGGGCCAGTTCACTGTCCCTCAGACTGTTGGAGGGCCAGATTATAGTTTAAAAGGACAGGCAGCGGCTAAGCAGGACAGGCAGTGTCAGCAAAAATACCCTGCGGGCTGGATAAATGTCCTGGGCGGGCTGTATGTGGCCTGTGGGCCGTAGTTTGAGAACGCCTGCTCCAAACTGTTGATTTTTACCACGCACGTTCTATAACCTTTATCAGGAAACAAATATGACACCATTTGTCATATTTGTTTCATCAACTTTCTCTCTAACATCAACTTTCTCTCTAACACTCATCAAACATAAAGTCACATAATCAAGACACCAGCAGCCCAGACATCCCTCAAGGGATGGAAGGCTGTAAGTATTCCCCGTCAATGGAGGGGTCCTCAGCCTGACATCACCTGCCCTCCTGTGCCCTCAGCTCTGTGATTCTCCCATCCCTGAGAGGGGTCCTTCATGAGCCCCTTTATAAGATGAGCCTCAGAGAAGACCTGGCTGGTGAGGGCCCAAAGTGGATAAAATCCCCACCCTGGTAAGGTAAGTGAGGGCGAGTGGACACACAGAGCCTGGCATGTAGTAGGTGCTTAATAAAGAACATCCACCGCTGTTATCGTGAGGTCTGGGCACCACTGGTTCTGAAACTACACATTTATTCTTTAGGGAGCAGAACACAGCAGAGTGGAAATACCAGGAAAAGTCTCAAATCCTGCCCCCTGCTGCGCTGTGAAAACCCACAGGATGACAGGAGCAGAAACCACCCAGTGACCTTCTCCACCTCTCCTGAAAATCCCCTCAGGAAACAGGTTTGGTAAATGGGGTTCAAAACACAGACAAGATCCCAGGTACCTCCCTCCAGAGGAGCCATTTACAAGAGCTGGAAGCATTTTGCAAGGAGCAGGGGGTCCTCAGTGACATCTTGGTGTGTTGAGGCAGGGAGGGTTCTGGGGCTGAATCCTGACGATGTGCTGGGATTGCAGTGCCTGTGTAGACACGGGCTTGTCTAATATGGGAGGTTCCGAGCACTGAGGCTGGATATGAGCAGGACATTTGTCCTGGTTGCCCTCTTCAGACCCTGAGACCTGCTCCATGGGAAGGGCCTGGGCAGGGCACTGTGGCCTCCACAGACGGACAGCACAATCTGCTCAGAAGCCCCAACACCCAGAAGAGCAGTTATTTCACCTGACATCATAGAGGACCCCCTTTTCTGGGGCAGGGGGCACTCAATTTGTTCTCTCTGCCCTGGCTGTGTGTTAGAATCTTTGGAGTCATTAAAAACTTCAGGTGCCCAGATTCCTGCTAGACCAATTAAATTGGCATTTCTAGGTACGCTGGGTCTGGGGACTTTTTGTTCAAAGTTTCCCAGGTGACTCTACAGAGCAGTGGCAGGTAAACCCCCAACACCCCAGTGCCATTTGCACTGAGGCCTAGAGGGGAAGGGCCCCACCCCGTCTCGCGACCCGGCACATGAGGTGCACATGCTCTGAGCACCGCTCTGAGTACTTTGTGGTTTTGACTCCTTCAGTCCCTGCCCCTGCTGTCTGGGGCCAGTGTTGTCACCCACAAGTGAGGACACCAGGTCCACTGTGGTGCATCAGCTCACCTGAGGCTACAGGCTGAGAGGTGGCAGAGCTAGAGTGTGGTCCAGGCAGTGAGACTCCGAACCCTGCTCTCCTAACAACGGCGCCAAGACATGTGCTCATAGTAACCCCAAGACCACCACTCAGGGCTCTGAACGTGTCCCCTCCAGTCCTCACAGCACCCCCTAGGGTGGCCATGACCATCACCTCCTAATAGATAGGGAACCTGAGGACTCAAGGGAAGCCAAGACCTGGCCAAGATCACACATCCTTGATGACAACCCCATGGCTTACTGAGGTCTCTTCTCTCCCCAGGGTTACTGTGTCCTCAGAACACCCTGGAAGGTTTGGTGCAATCATCCACGTTGTACATATCTTGAAATTGAGGCTCAGCAAGGGGGGCTGGGTTGCCCAAGATCACACGATGTTGAAATATCACCTCGGGGGGCGGAGCCAAGATGGCGAACTGCAGCCAGCTTTTTACAGAAGCTCCCGTCCAGAAGGAGGCTGAAAGGACAGAACCTTAGCAAAGTAGCTGATGGTTTGGAGCAGAGACAAGAGAGAAGATTGAAGAGTGCACTTCAACCTTCCTGAGGCGAGCTGCGACCCT